TCTTAAGAACATCGCACGATCATGAACCATATCGTGCAATGCACGGTAAAGGATAAAAATTTACTATTTCATTAGCTCACGATATGGATTTCTATCCTTCACACCTTCCCATCCCGACTATATATAGGAAAAACATCCAGCTTCGCTTTCTCCTCGAAACAAGTTAATAGAATTCTGAAAGGCCAGAAGGCAGAAATTATCTGTCAGTGTAGAGACATCTTTAGCATCCCCAATTATCATCGAATGATTGGCACTATCAACAACAGAAACCCATTACTTCAGTAAAGAATTTACTCCGATCATTGCAGCAAAAAATATTTGAGACTTCATGGAAGGGAAGAAGAAACGACTTTTATAGGAATTCTGTGTGAATGCATATTTCCTAACAGTTATGCTATCACGGGACTGAACTTCAGAGGTTAATAGGGATAAAGCACATTCCCTTCAGTAGCCCTTTTGGACGACGATAATCAATAAAATTATTAGATACTACAAAGGTTCGACATAACCTTAAAATGACATTATATAATATTACGCCTGCAGAGACGAACAGCACAAATAAATTGTTTCGATGCATACCAATCTGATCTAATAGGCTAGGAAGAACAGCCACAATGAAAGTTTTAAACTGTTTAGATATCGGTCGCCATTACACTTTCACGACTGAGCGTCATTTGTGGCCTCCTTTTTTTCATGGAGCTAATGATAAGGTGCTAATCACCGTATCTGTATCATCAGCCAAAGGTGTCTTTTTTCTAAGGATAAATCTGCAACTGAGTATCACTGAAATGTGTCATCTGTAGTTTTCCTCCCACGAAGTGGCAGTCATTTATCCATTTCAGAAGAAAGGCGAGTGACTTGACCATGACTTAAACCCTAGAATCTCGATTCTAAACCCGCCGCTCTACCGTCAAGCAGTTCAGCTTTCAGGGATACCGGAAAACACCATGACGTGATGCAAAATAATGGCTTCCCTAGTTTATAACTAAAATCATACCTGGAATAAACGCCACTGGTCTAACCTTCATTGAAGACCCCATAACGACCAAGAGATCGACAGCTTCTTTGTCTCGCGCAATGCATTCGTGAAATTCACGTGGTAAGCTCTCGCCGAAAAAAACTATGTCCGGTTTCATAATAGAACATGGCTTAGAACATTTCTTACAACGAGGTACTTTCTGCAAGAAAAATGTATGGAATTTGAACGCACAACGTTGAGTTCAGGTATTACCTGATTAAAGATATCTGAACGTACTTCTTCAGAACCAACCTGATAATGGCATTCGATGCAAGACGTTGTCGCAAATGATCCTAAACAATTAATAGTGAACAAGAAAAATAAACCGCAAAGTCACTGCACCTGTTTTAATGTATACTTGTCAGAAGGCCAACGCGCGGTCACAGGTGTACTGTCAAACCTTCACACTGCAGGGAGGAAAGGGAGATTAGCTGAACTAAAAATACCAGAGGTACCGGTTGGAATCCAAGCACGGCGTGAACTTTCTTTAAGAAACTGATAATCTGTTTGATGAAGCATTCAAGAGAACGTGTTCCTACATAACCAGCAGAGAAACTGGTAGAAGTCGATGGTAAACAAACAGTTGGGACAGCATGGTGTGGTGATGTGATGACACTTACAGCTTGACAGACTAATGGCCATGCACTCGTTTTACAAATGGCATTGTGCTCTAATTCAAAGCCATTCCAACTTTTGGATCATGCACACGGCTGCAGCATCAAACATCTAACATATTGGGTCTCTATGGTCATTCTTAAATAAACAGTCAAATACGGACTGATCACTCTTTCAGATCAAACGCATGCTTGGCACAGAAAGTTCAGTGACAGTTCAAGGTTCAAGGACTAGGTTCAAGACCATGTCAAAAAAGCGCTTTACTGCATGCTTTGTTGCATATAGTCATCTCATCTGCTAGTCGTCTGATGTCTTATAAAGAAAAATCGTCAATATTTCTTTCCATAAAATAAGCTCGAAACGCGCAAATATTCCTACCATTATCTTTATCCTCCCTTCAGAAGTGTATAGAATGCTGTTGTGGCTCATATGCATTGTACTAAAGCAAATTGATTGATTTGCATTTACAGCAGCGATGCGCTTTGGCCTGTCTTAGAACAAGGCGTAACCCTTAATTTCTTGTAATATTTTATGACTACAGCTATAGAGCTAAACCTTACACTGCGTTGTTTTCCACTGTTGAGCAGGCATTCTTGGCTCCTAAAAATTCACTTGTATGATGTACGAGATATCGACCAATTTTAATGGTCAGTTACGCCTAATCACAATAGAACTTTTGTGTCAATAAACTGTCGTTAGATGCAAAACATCCTTCGAACACCATGAAGTTGCGGCGAGAAAGCAGCGCACAGCATTTGAGAAGATTCAGCGGAACCATTAACGCAATACGGCGTTCATCCGCCAACTACTGACAAACAGATAAATATGTAGTGATCAATTAATTTCAATGCAGCTGAACTGCTGGCAAAATTAAACATCGACGCCATGTTGCTGAAGGTTTTTGAAACAATTTATGGGCATTACGATCTTTATTTCATAAGCCTGGAAGTGTAAGTAAATAAAATGACGAGCCTAAAAATTTAATATATTTTAACATTTGAAGTTGACTTTAGGTTGATTTCAATTAATCTATCAGATGCGTCGGCGCTTCAGAAAACATGCTCCGGCATGACCACGCCAGAACACTACGCTGTCCTTATTATTCATAGGTGAACGGACTTCTGGTCGTTTTATTTTATTTATCATCTTCTTACCTTGCGACAGGTTAGTGACCTATGAGGAGCGTCAAGACGATCTGTAGTCATAAGGCGTACACATCAAACAGCATGACCATATGCCTAGCAGCCAGCGTTCCACGCTGCCCATCTTATTCGAAAGTCGCCTATTCACTAATTATCCATTTCTCTATTTAGTGCACCGAAACATGAGAGTGAATTCTTTACTCAAGAGAACTATCAGTTAATAAAGTATTCTTACATCGCGCTGGGATTTGAACTCGGAACCTTGCAAAGCAAACTAATTATTCACTGTGCAACTGTCCCAACTGACGGTTAACTTCACTTTTGCTGACTCTGCGATTAATAATAAAGTACCGGCACCATCAGCATGAGATGCCAAGAGAAAGCGTAAACTTGGAGGCTGTGACATAGCCGGCACTCAAGAAACTGACCAATGACGGGAGATCGCCAACTAACAACTATTTCACACTTCATTCCCTAACGATCAGTTCTTGTGCAGAGACTCTCTAAAGCATATTTGGCTTAATCGCCGGAAATGAAGTGAAATGCGTTTATCACTGAACTGTCTATAGGTCGGATAGTCAATATCAACCGTGCCAGCTACATGCAAAATTTTCATCTTATAAGATTCAGGAATTTTATCGCTACTATTACTGCATTATTAATGCATCTTCAACTATTATCAGTGCTGTACAGTAAGTCAACATCAAACGAATGACCAACCTGTGACCTCGAGAAATAAATATTAATCAAACCATTCAATTAATAACATACCATGGCAATATATGACCTTTTTGATTCCAGCCGTTTGTTCTAAAGTGTCGATATTTTGGGTATAGTCTCGCAGAAGTTTGTTTTCATCTTCCAATGTTTTAATGAACCTGTGACAGAGAGATGGTTTGAACTGCCCGGGATAAATTTCCTACAAAATCAGCCATAATAAATGTTTGCTTAATATGCAAAAAACTGAAATCGAACCTTTGCAAATTCAAAAAACGGAGATGGGTTATTGCGGAAGAAATTGATGTCAAACACAGCCTGAGGATCAGGCAATTCCGGAAATCTCTGTCTAAGACGTGCATACACGCCCCCTCTGCTACGGAAATCAGGTATTCCACACGAAACAGATATCTAGGGCAAACAATAAATATATAACGAGAACGTCTTTATAACCGATAATGAACACGTCTTACTCCAGCACCAGTCAGGACAATAATTTTCTTTGATTGCTTAATAAGAGCAACGGCATCGTCTAGCGTGTTAACGGTTGTCAGCTTGGGCCGTCTGGGTATTTCGTTATTAATGAATTTGAAAACCAGCTCCCATATCGCATCATCATCGATGGCATCAGTCAACTGCATATCTGGAGCCATTTGTCTCAGTAACACTCTTGGATCTGCTGAATCGCCGACCTGTTCACGTATCCACTCTTTATATCCTGAAAGTATAGGATTTATAAACATAAGCAAATACCATATAAGCTAAACACAAAAACAAGCATAACTGAACAGATAAAATATACGCTAAAACCACCCACAAAAAGCGCCTGAATAACATTTTACAGGAATGTCCACGTGACAGTACTTCGCTGCAAAAATAAGAAACTAAAAAAATGCATGGTTCGATTCGACCATAACAAGCCTGATTTACTTTAGTGCTGCAATCGAAATTTAACATCAGAGATGGCGATCACATACTGCACAAAACCCAAGCAAAAACTCAGTTGGATTTTATACAGGTGTCCTTTAGGGGTACCCGGTAAAGTACTGATAACCACAAAAGCTTAGAATAGATGAATAGTAGTCAGCGTTATTAGGTGTAAGAGAACAGCAAAAACAGCACAGCAGACTTTTGCACAAGTTCTGAAAAGTAAGGAACACACTATGGCCGCTGGTTTCCTCAATGAGCAGAATATCAGCTCGAATGAATGTAATACCGTCAATCGCAATGATTTAATCAAAGACTTTGTTGCACGACTTGTCACGACAGTAGCATACTGAATATGATAAACCGAAGGTGCATAATCTTAGACCGTAGAGAAGACACGAGCTGTTAAAGTTTAGAGAAGTTCTTCAGAGGTGTACATTGGCAGGAAAAATTCGAAGTCCACAGCTGGCTTCATAACAAGGATCCAATGAATAATATTACGAATGTTAAAGAAATAGGAAAAGAAACTCTTCTTGAGAAAATGACACGGCCATTTACACAATATCAGGAAATTGTTCTGTTTCTAGTCCGAAAGACCCTGCGGGTATGTCAAAAGTTGAAGCTACTAACTTGACAAATGTTCAGTTGAGAAGGTTACTTGGTCGGTAGAGTGCCTGACTCAAGATCGAGAGGTCCCGGGATCGACACCCGAGGTTGATAAACGAGTAAAACTGTGTGAGAAGAAAACAGGAGCCTACACCTAATGCTTTACAGGTCGTTGCTGTCGACTCTGTCTTCAAAATAAAGCACCCCTGGCTGACGGCATGGAAATGGCGATCAGAGCCCACCAACAACAATGTAAAGAAGGGTATAAGAAATTATCCAATGACGAAGGTGTTAGGAAAGCCTACGATCCATTCTCTTTAGCATCTGAACTGCTACTTTTCAAGAACCTGAACATAAAATGATAACGATTGATCGGAAAGCAGCAATGCCACCAGTCAGAGCATTTGAAGTAGATACATGAGGCTGAAAAAAATACTGAAGATGTTTACTAATAACAATAACGGAGATATCAAATTACACATATTAAACCTGTAGTACGAATGAGGCCATTCACATGAGGCAGAAAAAGCATCATATTATGTTAATTTAAAAGTATGGAAGGACATATAGTTATGAACAAAGAACTAAGGCTAATTGTTGCTTGATTCATGATCGAACAACTTAGGAACACACTTTCTTATTTTCACACCTGTCATATTTAGTTATTAAATATAAATACTGCAAGCAGAACCGAAGCAATGCGCTGAGCTAATAAAACACAAAGCAAAGACAACTAAACATAAATGCTGCTACTCACCAACATAATTCGGTTTCCAGTTCGACTCACTGATGCTTGACGATGAAGAAGGTGGCGAATGTCTGTCATCATCGCTAATCT